GCTGTTGCTGTTGGACTTGCATAGACTCTGTCTTGTTTTTGGATAATAAACCTACCTTTAATTGCACCCCCTTGTGTGTCTGGCTCTTCGCTCCCTGACAGAAGCTCCTGCTGCAGCATGGTCTTGAACCTGGCCAGGAGGTCTGCATCCTGCAAGGGGGGCTGTGGGTTGTCTGCGGCCTGCAAGGAGAGCCGTGGGTGGTCTACGGCCCACAAGCAGGGCTATGTGTGGTCTGCGGCAAGCATGGAGGGCTGTGGGTGGTCTGTGGCCATCAAGGGGGGCTGTGAGTTGTCTGCTGCCTGCAAGGAGGGCTGTGGATGGTCTGCGGCCTGCAAAGAGGGATGTGGCTGGTCTGAGGCCCGCAAGGGGGGCTTATGGAAGTCTGCAGGAATGTCAGGCAGGCTCTCCAGGTCCGAGAGGGTGTCCGGGCTGCCCGAGGGTAGCGGCCAAAATCGAAGCCTGGGCTTCTGCAGGTAAGTAGGCCGCATCTCGGGACCGGCTCGGCAGGCGGGCACTGGAGGTGCGGGAAGCCTCTGACTTCTTCCCCATAGGTAGCGGGGGGGTCTGCAAAGATAGAAGGTAAGTGTGGGGGACAGAACAAGCTCCCCAGGAGGCAGGGTAGGTGCGGATGTGCCCGGCGGTGGAGGAGCGGGATCAACAAGCGTCCATCACCGAGTGTGTCCCTCATTTTCAAGTCCAAAAGTTGGGAGGTATGCCTTTACTGTCAAGCTGGGGGGTTGCCTTGGCAGGGGGACACCTATGATACCTTTTCACATTCCTGTCCTCAATGGGATAAGGAGGAGAAGTCACAGATTGGGTAATACTTGAGAATACGTGGGCCCTTATCTCTGCAATACTCACCAAAATAAAGTATTACAAAGCACCCTTTCTAACCATTTCCCAAGAAGGAGTTGAATTGAAGAACACAATAACACTTAGCAAAAGTCTTTTCATTTAAAGAAAATATATCAAAAAAGCAACAGACGTCACATATCAGTCCAGAGGTTTTGCAGCATTACAATCTGTACCAAACAGATTCCTGCTGATATAGGAGACATTTCTGGCTGTCCATAAAATATAAACATCACATGTGACGTCCCAAATAATGTGATGTCATTAGACAGACATGATCTGATCCACCTCTATTAGGTTCTACTGTGGATAACCGGAAGGGAGCCACATAGATTTGCTAATCAGTTTCAAGTACAGTCACATAGTTACATAGGCTTCCTGGAAAAAGACAAAAGTCCATCCAGTTCAACCAAAAAGTTATAATCCTACACCCACAGTTGCTCCAGAGGAAGGCAAAAAAACCCCAGCAAAGCATGATCCTATTTGCTCCTGCAGGGGAAAAGATTCCTACCTGATCCCCCAACAGACAATTGGAAATTCCCTGGATCAACTTTACCTATAAATGTTAGTATCAAGTTATATTCTGTGTATCCAAGAAAGAATCCAGGCCTTTTATAAAGCAATTCACTGAGCTGGCCGGAACAAACTCTTGAGGGAGTCTAATCCACATGTTCACAGATCTCACTGTGAAGAAACCTTTCCATGTTTGGAGATTACATTTATTTTCCTCCAGACATAAAGGGTGCCCCCTTGTCCTCTGTGATGATCTTAGGGTGAATAACTCTAAACCGAGTTCACTATATGAACCACTTATGCATTTATACATGTTGATCATATCCCCCCTTAATCTCCTCTTCTCAAGAGAGAATACATTCAGTTCCTCTAATCTTTCCTCATAACTGAGCTCCTCCATACCTCTTATCAGTTTGGTTGCCCTTCTCTGCACTTTCTCCAGTTCCCCAATGTTATTTTTGTGAATTGGTGCCCAAAACCGAACTGCATATTCCAGATGAGGTGTTACTAATGATTTCTACAGGGGTGAACTGATATCTCTCTCTCTGGAGTCTGTACCTCTTTAATACAAGAGAGGATTTTGCTCGCTTTAGAAACCACAGTTTGGCATTGAATTCCATTATTAACCTTGTGATCTGTGGTGGTTTATGAAAGGATTTATTCTATTTATGAAGGGCGGTGTCCCTTTCCCTTAGATGAAATATTACAGTGCCTCCAGCCGTCAAATACGGCAAATATTTAATGAACCAATAATTGGGACACCTTGATAATTTGATCACCACTTATTATTATACCTTGAATCCTTTTAGCCAGTATGATTTCGTACCATACACACAAAATTTGCCTTATAATAGATAAATATAAAAATGTATTTATGTACAAAAATTATATATATTAACACAAAACGCAAAAGACGTGATGAATGAATACTGGTACACACGATCAAAGATATACTATACCAATATCATACACAATACAATATTTCTAAATAATGATAAACAAGATTACAATATTTCTAATGATGATAAAGATTAAAAATTAAATTTTAATAATAACTGATAATTTAGAGTATCTCAGAGGTCATTTTCTCTCATAACGTGGCCATAGGAATGGGAGAAGATATTCCCTGATAAATTATACTCTAACAAATAAAATTTAATAATTTATGAAATATGTAAATTTGCAATATGACACCAAACAATATCTAGCAGTAATACATGGATCTCTATATATATCTACACACCCAATGCAGTTGTTATCACTCTAAGGTAATTCTTATCACTCTAAGCACATAGGAAATATGCAATACAATATTAGATATAGACAGTCTCACCACACCCAGAACTTGGACTATGACACCTTCCCAGTGGATTCAGCTGGCAATGGAAACGCCTTCAGAATAATGGCCACAGGGCAAGTGATAGGTAGTGTAGGAAAATGTAGGATAGTAGAAATTCAGAGAGTGTAGAAGTTTAGTAAAAAGTTTTTAAAAAGTTTGAAAAGATTAAGCAGTAGATCTTCAGATGGATTTCAGCCTCGTCAGATTTCTTCAGCTTGTTTTTCTTTGGCTCCAGTGAGATTTTTCAGTGAGTCTTTCAGTCAGTCTTTTTTTTTTTAGTGAGGTTCCTTTTTTTTCCAGTGAGGTTTTTTTTCTTAAATGAGGTGCATGGCTTTTTATACCATCTAAACTACTGTTCTAAAAGACCCTCCCAACAGGCTTTTGATTGGCCGGTCGAGAAGTGTATGTACCTAAGCTATCTCTCACCTGTCCACCAGGTGGCAGTCAGGTACCATAGAACAATTTGAGTATTGATGATGACTCACACCTCGGTTGGAATCCAAGGTGATTTCAGGTATTAAAATATAGGTCTCATCCAGATATATATATTTGATTATACCTATAATGTCCTGGATAGGAACTATAGAAGATATATGTGTATTCAGTTATTCATTTCCCTGAGGTACAAACTTGTGTGAAAACATTTGCTTTCTGATAGAAATCTATTAACTGATACTAATTCACAAAATATCTTACTTTTCATCATTTCATACTCAATTTAGTGATATACAATCCCCAACTCTGCTGAATATATTTTTGTTTGAGAAAGCATGTGAATATTGTGTCTTTTTGTAATGTCTCTGTGGGTAAAAATATAAGTTCTAAGCTTTAACTTTTAGTCTTAAGAATGACAAAGTACTGATGTTTACGTCCATTGTAAAGATAATAGGGCAACAACCAGTTGTCCTTGTAGTTTGAAAAGACTTTTTGAAAAGACTGTTGACTCATCATCACTCTCTTCAAGGCTTTGTTTAACTCTTCTCAGACTTACAAGTATGGTTTCATGTATCGTTAACTTGTCGGTGTGGTGACTCAATGTTTAGAGGTCCAAAGTCGTATTTGACTGTCTAATTAACTTTTGTAGGTGCACTTTCCTCAACCCCAATATACAAACAGTATTTGTTGACATATATACACTTTAGCTAGTCTCATAGTGGCCAACCTAAGCTTCTCAGGATTGTGGATCTTAGGCCACCTGTAGATATTCAAACAGTCTATTGTCTCTGGAAGAAACCCTTTCACCCAGTGTTTGCATTTAACTTCATTAGAGGGTCCTTTGAATTTCAACCAAGAAAAGTTAACCCTTAACAGATGGCTAGGCTGGTTGGCTGTTGAAATGAAGTTTTGTTTTTGATAAATAATCTCAAAAGGCACTACAGATCTACCAGAACTCCCAGATCCTTCTCCACCATTGATTCCCCCAATTTTACCCCCCTAGTATATATGATGCATGCATATTCTTAGCCCCCAAGTGTATAACCTTACATTTATCAACATTAAACCTAATTTGCCACATAGTTGCCCAATTAAACAGTGCATTGAAGTCAGCTTGTAAATTGGAGACATCCTGTAAGGATGCTATTCCACTGCACAGCTTGGTGCCATGTGCAAAGATTAAAATGGTATTTTTAATCCCATTTATCGTTTATAAATATATTAAAAAGTAAGGGTCCCAACACTGAACCTTGGGTACACCACTGACAACCCTAGACCATTCAGAGTATTAATCATTAACTACTACTCTCTGAATATGTAATTTTAGACAGTTTTCTATCCATTTACATACAGATTTTTCCAAGCCCGTAGACTTTAATTTACACATTAGCCATGTGTGGGGAATGGTGGCAAACGCTTTTGCAAAATCCAAGTATACTTCATCCACCACTACCCCTCTGTCCAAGGTTTTTCTCACCTCCTCATAAAAAGAAATCAGATTTGTTTGTAAACTTCTGTCTTTCATGAATCCATACTGTCTGTTGCTTAAAATATTTTTTCCAGCAAGACCTCATCTATGTGGTCTTTTATTAAACTCTCCAGTATCTTCCCAACAATAGGAGTTACATTAACTGGTTTATAATCACTTGGTAAAGATTTTGACCTCTTTTTAAATATTGGCACCACATTGGCCTTACGCCAATCCAGTGGTACTATGCCAGTCATTAACCACCTCCCTCCCGCCATATAGTAATATGACGGGCACAAGGTGGTTCTCTCGTTCTGGGAGGACATCATATGACGTCCTCCCATTTTCACTGTGCATGCGCGGCTCAGGGAGCGCGCAGCGCGGCGAACTGTGGTGCACTGTGTCTCTCGGACACAGCGGATCACCTATCACGGAAAGAGCCGAAGATGTCGGCTCGGTCATGTGACCAGCTGTGTCCAATCACAGGAAACAGGGAAATGCCAGTTATCGGCATTTCTCTCCTCTCGAGCTGTCAGCTCGAGAGGAGAGGAGAGCCGGTAATCGGCTTTCCGCGGAGGGGACATGTACACTGATCCTCAGGGCACTGATGATTAGTGTGCCCTGATGATCAGTGTAGCCCGAGCAGTGCCACCTGTCAGTGTCCATCAGTGCCTTATATCAGTGCTCATCATTGCCTCATGCCAGTGCCCATCAGTGCCACATATCAGTGCCTACCAGTGCACATCAATGCCACATAGTGCCCATCTGAGCTGCCTTTCAGTGTCACCCATCAGTGCCAGTCAGTGTCACCTATCAATGCCAATCAGTGCCACCTATCAGTACTGCCAATCAGTGCCGCCTATCGGTGCCAGTCAGTGCTGCCTATCAGTGTGCATCAGTGCCGCCTAACAGTGCCATTCAGTGCCGCCTAACAGTGCCAGTCAGTGCCGCCTATTAGTGCCAGTCAGTGCCGCCTATCAGTGCTGCCTATCAGTGCCATGTATCAGTGCTGCCTTTCAGTGCCCATCAGTGATGCCTGTCAATGCCCATCAGTGCCACCTACCAGTGCCTCCTCATCAGTGACCATCAGTGCCACCTATCAATGTCCATCAGTGCAGCCTATCAGTGCCCATCAGCACAGCCTCATTAGCTCACATCAGTGAAGGCGAAAAATCACTTATTTACAAAATTTTATAACAAAAACTGAGAAAAAACTTTTTTTCAAAATTTTCAGTGGTTTTTTTCAGTGGTTTTTGGTTTGTTTAAGAAAAAATAAAAAACCCAGGAGGTGATTAAATAACACCAAAATAAATCTCTATCTGTCACAGAAAAAATGATAAAAATTTCATATGGGTACAGTGTTATTTGACTGCGCAATTGTCATTCAAAGTGTGACAGCGCTGAAAGCTGGAAATTGGCCTGGGCAGGAAGGGGGTATAAGTGCCTTGTAGGCACGTGGTTAAAGAGTCCCTAAAATTTAGAAACAATGGCTTTGAAATGACAGAGCTCAATTCTTTAAGGACCCGTGGCTGTATGCCATCCAGTCCAGGTGCTTTATTCACCTTTATTCTGTCTAAATATTTCTGGATCATATCAATTGTGATATCAAAAACTAAAATGGGATCCCCAGCACATATAGATACAGATAGATATATATAGAATATGCAGACTAACCCAGGTTCAAGGGTGGTGTTCTCAGGACCAAACCATACAGTAGAAAAATTGACCAGTAGGTAAAGAACCCACTAGGAATGAAGTCCTCAGGAAAACATACTGCAGCTTAAAACGTAAAGTTTGACACTTTCATGACAAGGTACAAAAAGCAGCAATGCCCTCCATCCTACACTGTAAAATCATGACAAGATTGCCATACAATAAAATACCCCCCCCCCCCCGGGATCCCGGTCCACACTATACACACTCACACAAGCACTGCACACTCTATCGGCCAATGAGATAAGACACCATGAAACCCCTGGGATTATGTGGTGTCAGATCATGAACAAAGGGACAACCAGAATATAATGGGAATCAAAGAGACAGTGCACAGATGAATGGCAGGATCAAACTGATGAATGCTGGAGCAAACTCAAGCAGTCCTCAAAAAGGAGATATATGAGTGGAGTCGATCCAAGTATAGCATGACAGGCAGTCCTCAAACTTCCCATGTATAGACAATGCTTCATAGAGTGATGACATAATACTTGGCTCTCATATAGAGTGGAATAGCCCTCAATTAGAGAGTAAATGTGACACATCCAGATCAGTGCACTGGTATAACCAGAAGAGGCAGTCAATAGTAATGCGTTAAACCGTGCAGGTCGATCCTTTGAGCCTGTGTGAGATCATGAAATTAGATGGCAGACACATATGTTTCCCGTGAAGGACAGTCCACTGTAATATCTTCAAAGAGTAGATGATGGTTGTGGTGCCAGTATACTGTAAATGTGAGGCAGGTAGAGTAGGTATTAAAGTGGATACCGACAGTGGTGGGTGAGCTAGAGAATGAAGTAGTGGTGAACCGCCGTCTGCTAGCGTAGCGTTAAGAGCAAGGAAATTAAATTTCTATGGCTCAGCCGAGCCCTTTGCAGTAGATGGGAGTTCCCCAGTGTATTGCTGTCTAGGTACAGGAACAAAGTCCGCTCACCTAACCCTGTGCTGTCATATGTCATGGTCTCTACCTGCTGCTAAGTATGAGGTGTGGAGGCATGCGGTGTGGTCGTCCGGGGGTGAAGAGTCTGCCTGGTGATCCAGTGTGCAGTGGTCAGATGGTGGAACCGCGTGGAGGGACCGGAATGGCGAGGACACGGGCGTCACGATACTGTGACGTCAACGCGTTTCGCCCACTGAGTCACATGAGCTTCTTCAGGATTCATATCAATTGTGAGCCAATGTGGATCATCTGGAGCTGTGTCAATACCATGCCCATTATGGACAAGAGCTCCTTCATGCTCCTTTTTATACATGAAAGGAAAGAGCCACTTAACATACTCCACTAATCATGAGTGTCTTTTATTTGATATTGAGAGAGATGGTCAAAAAGTTGAGGCTTATCTCAAAATGTCTAAAAGTTGAACTTTATCTCAACCCTGTCATTTAAAAAAAAGGTTAAAAAGACACACCAGAACAAGCAGATTTTATGCAGCATAACCTAACAAACCATTTGTGGATTTGTGGCCATGAGTGTTATTTCATGTTATTTTGTGTTATTTCAAAATATTTTTCCTGCTTGGCGTAACTGCACAGGATGCTTAGTGAGTCAGTCTGAGTGTCTCTATCCAGGGTAAAAAAAACTGCACAGGACACTGTGTCAGGAGAACACCAATTTGACCAAAATTCATGATTTCAAATCAAACTGGAATCTTGGAATTGTTCAATGCATCCTGAATGTAACTATAATTTCTAATAATACCTGCTTAAAACTATAACCCTTTTATCCTCAGACAGAGTAACATTATGAAATGCTTTAGCTAAATCTAAATATATTACATCAATAGATTAAAAAAGATTTAAAAATATTTTTTCATGCTAAAATGTAATGCTAGTAAGACAGGAACAGTGGGGGTTATTGACTAAAACTGGAGAGTAAAAAATGTGGTGCAGCTCTGTATATAAATCAATCAGCTTCCAGGTTTTATTGCCAAAGGTTAATTGAACAAGCTGAAGTTAGAAGCTGATTGGCTACCATGCACAGCTACACCAGATTCTGAGTGCACCAGTTTTAGTAAATCTACTCCAATGTTTCAGTCTTATTTTATTATTAGATTGTTCTTCACTGAATAATTATTTTTATATTTTTTCATAATTCTCCCCAATAGTTTATACACAACAGGAATCAGGCTTGCTGATCTACAATTGGCTTTCTTTTTAGCTTTTTCAAAATAATAGCATACAATCTTTTGTGCAGTACTCTTGTTGGACTGATCCAGTTTAAAGTGTTAGATTTTTAGATATACTCTGGTGTTTTTTTATACAGTAGTTACTGATTGTTTCTAGCACACAGCGGTGAGCTGTGTTTATTAATTTTGTTCAAGGAGAAGTAGGGCCAAAACTCTTTTGGCCCTTCTTATCCTGTGGGTCACAGGAGTGCACTTAGTTCTGCACTCCAGTGACCCAGATTCAACCGAAAGCAGGCTAAAGTCCACTGTCAGCTGATGTCAATCAGCTGTTCCTGACACTGGAGGGATCCTGACTTTAATGTCTGGATCAGCCCAGATGCCTGAGCGGAAGCTGGCTCGGCCTCCCAGTGCACCCTCTACAGCCCAGCACTCCAGTGAGCTCTGGAGGGGCAGAGCAGATAGCTGATGACTGACTCTTCTTTTTATTGCATAACTGCACCCCTTTTGATATAAGTCTAGTCTCATGTGGATAACGAGGATTGGTTACCTACAATATTCCCACCATATAACTTAATCAGTCAATTTTTCAAATACATGTCCATTAGCAGAAACACACCATATCCAAGACTGCTCCAAAGTTTCATAAGAGTGCCTTATCTTGGTCATGGGACTGATATCCTTATTACCACCCTGGATTTTTGCAATGATCTGCAGTTCCTGTAAGAACCTACCCCTTGTTGCAATACTCTATAACAATCTCACTGATATTTTGTATGAACTGGACCTACATTTGACCTGCCTGAATAAACCCTACAAGATCACTTGCTAAGCTCGCTAGGAAGGTGGGGGGAGCATTCCAGAAGCTTCCAGTCTTGCTTGCAGCACTGTCAGGGGCAAAACTGTAACAAAAAAAAGAAATAATAACATGGATTTAAACATCCCATACCAAAAAACGTATTACCTTAACTTCTGACTGATTTTTGTGAACTCCACAAGGCCAGCCTCCATGGGTAGTGTTAGATCTCTGGCAGTTAACATTAGCCTGCAGTCTTCATAGGTATGATCAGTTACTGGCAGTCCTAAAGCCCTGAAAAAAAATATTACTTGCATGCTTGTTATGATGCTTTTTTCTATAACTATTATACATTTTTTTGTTTATACTTCATTACCAGTAAATATATACAATACACAGAGTAGCATAACAGTATCTGTTCAGAATAGGTACAATGGTGTAACATAGATGTATGCTGTCACAGCGTGAGGAAAGTACTGCCGGTAACCGTCCAAACAAACATCTTCACTGATAATCAGGGCACGGATAATCAGTGCTGCCCATCAGTGCCTTCAGTGCTGCTCAACAGTGCTGCCCATATGTTTCCAACAGTGCTGCAAATCTGTGCCCATCAGTGCCGCCAGTCAGTACCCTTCAGTGCTACCTATTAGTGACCTTCAGCACCGCCTATCAGTGCTGTATATTAGTGCAGCATGATCAGTGCGTCCTCATCAATGCCCACCAGTGCTGCCTCATCAGTGCTGCCTATCAGTGCAAATTAGGGTTGCCTATAAGTGCTGCCTATCAGTGCAGCCTCACCAACGCACATCAGTGAAGGAGAAAAATTAAAAGTTTGCAAAATTTTATAATAGAGACAAAGAAAACTTTTTTTTTTCAAGATTTTTAATCTTTTTTCACTTATAGTGCAAAAAATAAAACTCCCAGTGGTGATTAAATACTACCAAAAGAAATCTCTATTTGTGTGAAAAAAATTCTAAAAATGTCATATGGGTGCAGTATTGCATGACCGTGCAATTGTCAATTAAAGTGCGACAGGACTGAAAGCTGAAAATTGGCCTGGGCAGGAAGGGGGTAAAAGTGCCCAGTAGGCAAGTGGTTAAATAAAATCATATTTTGAGCTATTAATGCAAAGTTTAAAATAATTTTGGCTATGGCTTTCACAATTTTAGAAGCTTACATTCCATGTTGCAGATTAGCCATCAGTGGGAGCTAGACATGTGCAATTCGTTTAATAACAAATTGAA